TTTTTTTTTTTTCTTGCAAATATGGTTTCGATGGAACAGGTTAAATTAATGTTATTTAACAAGAGAAACACGTGTAACGTTAACACACACACAGACACAGAGAGACAGACATACACACCGGTATTCGAGCGATGATGATGATGATCACCGTTATAAAACTAAAGGCGTTAAGCTGTAATTAATTGTATAACTGTTACAAAGGAAACGCGTGCATGTGACCGATTATTATTATTAATAAAACGATGTATTTATACGAGCCGTATGTACACGGTATTAATTATTATAACACACGATTATAATAATTAATATTTGTTTGCGAAAGAAGAGGGATGAGAGGAGAAATGACGTCGAGTGTATTTTGGATCACGTTCAAACGAAAGGCGTTGACGAGTTAATTATTCTAATTACGCTTGCGTAAATGGGACGATATGGTTTTTTTTATTGTATAGATAAGGAGAAAAAGAACAAGAACAACAGGAAACCGTGGATAATTATATATTTATTCGTAGGAATTTTTCTCTTTGTATTTAATGTAAGTTATTTCAGTTTGGACAAAGTTCTTTGGATCCGTAACATTCGTTTTCGCTCGCGGATCAGTATTATCGTCGTTTATTGGATCGATAAACGATGAATCAATACTCTTCAAGTGTATAATCTCTTCTTGCATACCTAAGTAATTTATTCGGCATAAATTAGTTTAGGTTTTTAATTTATTCGACGCGCACTCATACATACACACACATACACACGCAGGGGCGCGTGCGCTAACACACACATCTATACATACACGTGAATACAAAAATACACGATATTCACGGTCAATCGACATTTTAAACCGACAACAATTGTAACATTTGCTTTTATGGATGTCTCTTTAAACGATAACGCGACCAATGATCAGGCGGAAAAACAATTGTAAATGTGCTCAGTATCGTCTGTATATATTTGTGTGAGTTGTATCTAAATATTTGGGAGAAACGAAATAAACGAATGCCTTCACTTCTGTGTAAAAAATCGTATTCTTTTGAAAATATAGAAATTAACAAAAGTTTCGGTAATTCTAACACGCGTTCAAAGAATACAAAACATTTCTATAATTATTATCAAAACGATCGCTTATAAAACTACTTCTCTCTTATCAAAATATTCCTATAATACTACTTTTACTTAAATTATTATCACGTATTGTTTTTGTATAAATAGTACATTGAGATTCGTAGCCTTGCTTGCTAAACGTCTTATACAGAATTAAAAACATTTTCTCTTGGACTCGACATGTAGGTATAAAAAGCTATAAATAGTTCATTGGCTACTTCATCAATGCTGTCGTGTAAAATGTGAACGATATTTGTTACAGTGTTATACACTTGCTTATTAGTGGAAGATCCAGCAGTTACACCGTATTCTTTTAAATTCGCTTTGCAGTACGTCCACGTGAAATAAATGGCGTCAAACAAGAAATGTGCTGGATTGCTAGAGTATTTCATTATAGTAACAGAAATTTTGAAAATCATAGTCAAAATCTCTAACGGGTTATTCGTGTACTTAATTTCACGTAATATAATATTAAAATAACTAACATCAGGTAGCTGTACATCTAACGGTTGTTTGTCCGCGTAGTAATTTCTTATTTTTTCCTTAAGTGCGTTTTTCAATTTAATTATTACATTGTTGTTTTCACTGTAATCTAATGCCGATGAATTTGATTGTATTAAATTATATGTACATGCACCTATACTCAACAAGCGTCCTGTAAACACGATAGGATCTATAAACATCTTATTATTTATAAAGATTTTGCCATTGTTCCAAGTCATGTTAGGTAAACTGCTACAGAAATCTTCTACATTGGTAACTTCCTTTGCTTTACATACAATACCTCCAGATTGATTTTCTTCATTCGTTTTATTTGAATTCATAAATATTTGTCTTTTTCCAAACTCCTCGTCAAAACGATTTAAACGCAAAGCATTTTTAATCTTTTCGAGAATTGTACCCTGAGACGTTTGCACAAGTTGACTAGCTAATTTCACATTTATTAGAGTATTGCTGAAGAATAAAATATGCGAAGTGAAAACAATCACATCTAACATATCAATTTCCTTTTGTGTTTGATACTTATCAATTAAACAATATCCTTGAAAAACTATTCCTATGCCATTAACTGTTAAATTACTTAATAATACAGAATTATAGGCTATCTCAGCTGCAGTAGTAATAGTTCTGCCACTGGTAATAGCTTTACTCAGCAGCATAGTTCCTCCACTTGCTCCAAATGTTAAAACTGAACTGCCTATTCCAAGCCATGCGGTGAATGCATTTTTATTTGTTACATTAACAGATTGTTTGTGTGTAGCAAGATCTACTAATTTTTGTACATTTCTTCCAACAATCCATGATCCACTTACACCAGCATGAACTACACCTAATAATAAAGATTTCATTTTTATTTCATGTCATAAGATTCTCAAGATTTAAAAGTTAGATTATTTCAATTCGTCCATAAGTAAAACAATATGTACCTGCAGTAAGCAAAACTGGTGCAACAGGGGTCAAAAGACTTGTAATACCAAGTCCAACACCAGCGCAAACAGACACTACATTTGCAGCAACATCAATACCTTTGAGAACTGTGTTTCTTGCAGAACAAGCAGGTGAGTCCATTGATTCAACCCATACAGATGACGTATATTTTGTGATTGTATAGAATGGATTGCATTGATAAAACCCATCTTTAGGAAAAACCATTGTACACTTAGGTAATGTATTATTTTTTATATAATCATTCCAACTATCATAGACTCTGCTTTCGCTGTCAATGTACCATACAGTAGAATTGTCCTTTTTAACTTTAAATACTGGTAATGCACATATAGAATTAGCCTCTTTGCATGACTTATCATTTTCTTTTGACAATTTCTTGGAATCTTTATGCAGAAGTATTATGTTGAATATAACTCCAAGATAAATAAAATTGTCAGAACACCTTTTTCCATGGTTCATTATTTGTACATATATTGCATTTATAGCTTTACACATATTCTTATCGTATACAGTGTCAAATATATTATCCAGCTGATCGTTTTCTGATACAGAGCTTTCAAACGTAGTTAAAATGGTCATATTTTTATCAATGTCAGGTGGTCCAAAAAGTGCATATCCAATTTTATGTTTCATAAGTTTATAATTTCTGGCATCGTGCTGAAACCAGTCGGGCAAAAGTTCGTAATAGAACTGTTGACATTCTACTGCCAATTTTATCTCGTTTGTCTAAAATAAACAAAATATAAATGTAACTTTTAACAACCGACTGGAAATAAGACGTAAAAATATTTAAATTTACCATTTTGTTGAGAGAACACGCCATATTCGTTCCTATTATACTTATATGTTTAAAGCGAAATATAAATTATGTTCGAACGAAGCGTAATGTTAACAACACTTATTATAACCACATTACGTCATACTATTACCCCAAACTAGAACAAGGCAACTAGATATTACAAATATTTTATTCAACCGCGTATGTAGAAGCTGTAATTATACTTAACCTTTTCGTTGCTAGCGGTAACTATAATCACCCGACACCTGACGCTCGCTGGGTACTACGCCTCACTTCGGTTCCGCTCTAACCGTTCGGCAGTTAAATAAAGAGAATAGGGGAATACGGGGCAAGATAGGATAAAGAGGTAAGACGGGACAACGTATATAGAAAACAAATGAATTGCTACAACAAGTTCGAATACACATCACATAGAGACGTTAGGAAATGCGTCAGTCTGGAAACGGGACGCTGTACTTTTACCTAGCGTCCCCGTCTTACCCCACATTCTTCATACATGTATTTATATACATATTTAGAATCTTTCTATTTCGCCATAAAACTACGCTTACTACTCTGTGGCGTACAAACGTGAATAAGAATGCCTACGCAGAATATAGATAAAAGTCCACTCTACATTTTACATGCTTGAAAGTGCATAATTTATCAGGCATTTCTGTTGAAATAACGAAAATGTGTTACGCTTGAATGCGACGACTGTCATACTCACCCAAATAATGTTCAATAACTCCTAAACTAAACGGAATATGTTAATAACAATTATAAAAGAATGTAGCTGAAGGAGTTGCCTTTCAGATGCGTATAGTTATTTGCACGAGAATTTAGTCGAAAGCTACGTAATTATTGAAAAGCCGCAAAGATGCTTGACGGTATGCGGTGTCGTTCCCGACATCCCGTGCTAAAATTGTTAATAACTAATTATAGAAAAGGGTTAGAGCATTAAAAACTGTATGGGAAAATTGCTGAAGGTCCACTCTTCATTCTTCAACTCTAAAAGTTCACAGAATCATCGTAATTAATGAGTTATTAATGATTTTTCACCGACCGACTTGATTTAGACCGTGATTGGTGGAGCTTGGGTGCCCACCAGCCAATAGGAAGCGTTCTCTCTCTGTCCTTGTCGCACACTAGTGCGTTCCTTGTCTAATACCTCTGTTTATATTCTGTTATCCTATTAACGAGTCGTTAGTTCGCGAAGCCAAACGCAAGATGGCGTTAGTCTCGATCATCACTTTTTTTTCTGTCCTTGTCTATCCTTACTGCTTTCCTTGTCTAACACACGGTACTATTGCCATCCTTATCTACCGCTATTCCTTTCCTTGTCTAACCCACAGGAGTGTTTCTATCCTTGTCTACCGTTATTCCATTCCTTGTCTAACACACGGTACAGTTGCTATCCTTGTCTATCTCTATTCCTTTCCTTGTCTTACTCACGTAACATCCAGAGAATCGTCAGAAATGAAAAAATTATCATGTTAGTTGATTTTTAAAAACGAAGTTCTTCGTATTAGTCGCTTTTAATAATACTTATTGTAAATTAGAGCATAAATGCATGTAGTAAACAGATTGAACTTGATACTTATAGTAAAATTTTTAATTGCTTTAACATTACCAATGTGTAGATAATAAACTAAAGTTACTGGTTTACTTTCAAATACTTTAATTATAAAATAATTACTGTTTCTTGTTAAATAACAATTTAGATGGTTGTTCATAATTGTTGTAAGTCTTAAATAAAATTATCATACGCTTTAACTTCATGAAACAGCTTCGTATACTGCTATTTCATTGAATTAACCATTGTATTCGGTAGATTAGTCAGAATTTGTTTATAACTCTGATTAAATATTAGAAAAATTAATGTTCTTTTCGTATGAATTACAGGTAGACGTTCCAGGACATCGGAGAAATCAAGGAAAGGACTTGAACAATAGGAAAAACGAAGAAACGCAATTATTTGTTAATAAATAAATTATTTATTGTAAAATTATTGTACAAAATGTATTTTACAAAAGGTTACAATATACCAGAGTTGTATTACAGCATTTTACAGTCTATTTACTTCTCCTTTACACACCAAATCCCTTTCCCTTTGCAAAAAACCCATTGTTTAAACAATATTCTATTGCAAAATTGAATAAATTAATGCCAGAAACCCCCAGGAATGCGTTCTCATCGAAAAAATCGAAAAAATCCCGAAATTCTAGCGAAAACTACGGAAATTAGGCGAAGATTTCGAAAATCGCGCGAATATACTCGTTCAGTGCGAAAGTCCTCGAGAATTCCTGGAATTTACGTCATTTCTCGGAAATGACGAAATTTCCAAGAACTGACCAGAGGGGTCATTGAAAATTTCAGTTCTGGTCATTTCCGAGAATTTGGTCATTTCCGAGAATTTGGTCACTTCCGAGAATCGTGTCGATTCCAAGAAGTGACATCCTGTCATATCATATTCGCCTAATGAAAATCCAGATTTTGGCCAAAGGATCTTTGAAACTTTCGGTTCTCGAGAATTCCTGGAAATGACGTCATTTCCAGGAATCGACGCTAACGTCATTTCCAAGAATCGACCTCCTATCATATCATGTTCGCCTATTAGAAAGTCGATTTTCGGCCAAAGGGTCTTCGAAAATGTCAGTTCTCGAGAATTCCTGGAAATGACGTCATTTCTTGGAAATGACGAAATTTCCAAGAATCGAGTCGATTCCAAGAAGCGACTTCCTGTCACATCATATTCGCCTAATACAAAATGAGAATTTTCGATTTTCGAAAATTTTTGACCAAATAGTGACTTTGTAATAGGCAAACATGATGTGAAAGGAGGTCACTTCTTGGAATTGACTCGATTCTCGGAAATGACCAAGTTCTCGGAAATGACCAAATTCTCGGAAATGACCAGAACTGAAATTTTCGATGACTCCTCTGGTCAGTTCTTGGAAATTTCGTCATTTCCGAGAAATGACGTAAATTCCAGGAATTCTCGAGGACTTTAGCACCGAGCGAGTATATTCGCGCGATTTTCGAAATCTTCGCCTAATTTCCGTAGTTTTCGCTAGAATTTCCGGATTTTTTCGATTTTTTCAATGAAAACGCATTCCTGGGGGCTTCTGGCATTAATTTATTCAATTTTGCAATGGAACATTGTTTAAACAATGGGTTTTTTGCAAAGGGAAAGGGATTTGGTGTGTAAAGGAGAAGTAAATAGACTGTAAAATGCTGTAATGTAACTCTGGTATATTGTAAGCTTTTGTAAAATACATATTGTACAGTAATTTAACAATAAATAATTGATTTTGTGATAAATAATTGCATTTCTTCAGTTTTCTTGATGTTGCAGTCCTTTCCTTGATTTCTATGGTGTCCTAGAAGGTCTATCTGTAATTCATACAAAAAGAACATTAATTTATTTAAATTTTAATAAAAGTTATAAACAATTTCTGATTAATGTACTGAATACAATGGTTAATTCAATGCAGAAGTAGTATATGAAGCTGTTTTATGAAATTAAAGCATACAATACTTTTATTTACGACTTCCAATAATTATAAACAACCATGTAAATTGTTATTTGGCAGGAAACGTTAATTATTCTATTGTCAAAGTAATTGAAAGTAAACAAGAAAATTTGAATTTACTCATCAGAACTAAAATTTATTTCTAATGCTACTATATGATTGCAATTTTACTTGTTAAATAATTTTAATGTTTGTAGTATTAATTCACCGGGGAAAAATGCAAAACTAACCTCGTTCCATCAGTCGATGAACGCACATATTATCTTCCACTGGCGTCTGAGGGAATGCTGATGATGCAGAGTAGAAACCTATTCTAATACAACTACAGCTTTCTCTTCAATACCAAGAGTGAAGAAATTCACCGTGGATAATGAGTTACTAATGATTCTTCCTCGGTAAACTGAATTTTATTTTTAATACAGATCTTTCTTTTGATCCGTAAATTTTCAACAAATACAGGGAACTGTTAATTATGCATGATTTCAACAATTATTTTAACAAACAAAAGAATTAATAGAAAATTTTAAATAACTCTTTCCAAGATTTAGTTTAAAGAATTCTGATTTAAATTTAACATTTGAAACGATTATTCTCGAAAGCGAAGGTAACGCCATCTGATTAGCGACAGAAAAAATATTCGTAGCTCTACTGTAACTGAGATGTATACCTTCCATGGGCAGGTTTAGCTCTCGCGATTCGTTATGGCTAGTCAACAAACATAAACGTAACATAAATACTACTTGTAATTTAATTTTAATATGTGCATTTAACGAACAGTTATATTTCCTCCGTTATTTCAACGTGTTTATGCACATACGCGCAAGTGGGCGTATTACGCGTCGCAACCGTCTCACGGAAAAAATATATCTGTGTGTGCAACGAGGAATGTAGCGTTTCGGGTCAATATTGTTTGTACGGGAACAAATTCTCCGACGTATGTCAAATAAAATGTTAAGGTTTCTGTCACGACGTAGGGCTCGTAGTGTCAGCGGACAGACTACGTCATCCCAAATAAAAAACCAGCGATTGCTCAGCAATAAAAATGTTGTTCAGTGTAGGGTCGTTTTGCTCGATGGCACGGATCTGCCCATAGAGTTGTCAGTAAGTGGAATACTATGTTGGATGACAATAATTCGTTATTATCATTTATACTTTTAACGGGATATTCGTTGAGAAATATTTCAAAAGAATAGACAATGTTTCATATGAAATTTCTATATCAAGTTAACGTTAATACATAAAGAAAAATGCAAAAATAAAATGAAGAAATTTTTGATTTTTATACTGTTTGTATTTTTATCAAAAATTTATATTTTTAAATGTTTTTGTGTTGCAGAAAAAAGCATTGGCTAGTGACTTGTATGAGCAAGTATTTTATAGTTTAGATTTAATAGAGAAAGATTATTTTGGATTGCAATATACGGATAGTAATAATGTCCAGCATTGGCTGGATCCTACTAAACCCATAAAGAAACAAGTGAAAAGTAGGTTTTATTTTTGTGTGCAACGAAAAAGATTTTAACATTATACTTTTTTGTTCATTAGAATTAATACAGCATGTTTTTAAACAATTAAAGCAATTGAAGATTAATTGAACAGTTTTTAGATAAATATAAAATAAATTATATGATCATTAATAAATGACAATCTTTTATACAGTTGGACCACCATATACTTTACGACTCAAGGTGAAGTTTTATTCATCAGAACCTAATACTTTACGTGAAGAATTAACAAGATACCAGTTTTTCTTACAATTGAAGCAAGATGTTTTGGATGGAAAGCTTCATTGTCCTCATCAAGTTGCTATTCAATTGGCTGCTTTAGCTCTCCAATGTAAGTGTGTCATTCCAAGAATGAACAAATCAGTAAAGAATCTGTATTTGAATACTTTTTTTAATATAAATTGATTCATATTTTTAGCTGAACTTGGTGATTATGATCATGCCATACATAGTGCAGCAACAGTGTCAGAATTTAGATTTGTACCAGGTCAAACAGAACAGATGGAGCTTGAAATACTTGAAGAATATGCCAGGTGCTGTGGTCTTAGTCCAGCTCAAGCTGAATCTGCCTATCTTAGTAAAGCTAAATGGTTGGATATGTATGGTGTAGATATGCATACTGTTCTTGGGAAGGATGCATGTGAATATTCTTTGGGATTAACACCAACTGGAATCTTGGTCTTTGAGGGCACACAAAAAATAGGTTTATTTTTTTGGCCAAAAATTGGTCGTCTAGATTTCAAGAAAAAGAAATTAACATTAGTTGTAGTGGAAGAAGATGATGAAGGAAGAGGAGAACAGGAACATACATTTGTATTCAGACTTGTAAATGAAAAGGCTTGCAAACATTTATGGAAGTGTGCTGTGGAACATCATGCCTTTTTCCGATTGCGCGCACCCGTTAAAGGTGCTAGTGGACGTCAAAATTTTTTCCGCATGGGCTCGCGTTTTCGTTACAGTGGTAAAACGGAATTTCAAACCACTCAGCTAAATCGAGCACGTAGAACAGTACAGTTTGAAAGGCGTCCAAGTCAAAGATACGCGCGTCGTCAGAGTCATGTTTTAAGGGAACGTCAACGTCAACAAGTAGAACAGCCACAACAACCACCTCCAGTGGTTACCAGTAAGTTTTAAAAGATATTTTGATGTAGTATCATAATATAAATTCCTAAAAAAATTGTTAATTTTAGGTGAAGAGGAACCTCTACAACGACAATCAAGTCAGTGTAGTACAAAATCATCCGATTCTAGCGTACGCGGTACATCTTCACCTTTGGTAGATTCTTTACTAAAATCGCTTGCTAAAGATCAACAACCTTTGGAGCCTAGAAATCAAACGACAATCGGTACCACCGAGAAAGAATCAGAACCAGTGAAGACAAGTTTGATTATTGATAACATGGCTAATCAAACGCCATTGGTACCAAACAATCAAGTAGGCGGTACATCTTCGCTACCTCCCCGTACACCTATTCCTCCGGAATCATTGAAATGTAATATATTGAAAGCAAAGTCCCTGGAACAAGGCAAAAATTCAAATTTGGTTTCAATTACTTCTATGGATGCACCTACAGTTATTACCAAGAATAATCAACATTCTGATGCAGCTACAATTGTATCAGTGGTAAGAAAATACAATTATCCAGCATTATCTGTATTATTTACACATTACACAAAGCAATGAGATAAATCTTCGGATAATCCATTATAGTAGAAAGTTATTCCTATATCTCTTAGAATGCTATTTATTCATGAAACTAGTTTGCATTCAGTTTTTATAAGTACAACAACGAATATTGTTTAGTATTTAACTTAGAATTTTGTAGCATTTAAGTGCAAATATATATATAAACAAATATCTAAGATAGTTCTAAAAGTTTTACACAGACACAATGTACTTTAATTTTGTGGATTTCAATATTTTTTCATTTCAGTCACTTTTTTATGTTATGTCTTTAGATACACCTTGTGTTCTTTTTCTTTTTCTGTCAATATTTGTTCCATCGTTTTATGCTTCTATAGGCTTTAGATGTGATTTGTTTGCTTTTTTTTTGCGTTATCTCTTAGGGTGGAGACAAATTGACACTGTCTGTGAGTGGAGCTACCATGATGAACCCGTCTGCGGATGATACCGTGACCGTAACACATTTTTCTCTAGACAGCTGGGGTCAAATTGAACAAAAAACTACACAGCTGAATCCTAAAGTTTCGAATCAATCACAGAATCCATTTAATCCGTTCACTAGTGATACCAGCAACGAGGTCACTACAAATATCTCTGAAAGCACAGGGGAGGATACAAAAACGGAAGAGGAGAAGAAAACGAACACAAACCCGTTTATAGATTCGAATCCATTTTTGGGCTTGCTTAATCCTTTTAAAGACGTGCAGCCTGCAGTTGAAAAGAAAGTTGAACCGGAAACAGAGAAAAACGGTGCAAGGGTCGTGAAAACAGAAGAGATACAAACTACTACTACGACTCTTACTCACAAGGTGTGGCTCATTCTTAGCCATTGTAATTATAGTCCTCTATTTTGTACTTGTCTAAAAATGCTTTAGCTTGTGCAAATTGTACGCAAATTCGCGCTTATTTTTTAATATCGGTAATATTTTGTATTTTTACTTGAAGCACGCTAAAGTGATGTATTAAACTTTCAGTACATTTCCTCACAAGCTTATTTATTACATGGAAAATTATTCTCCTTACGTTTTAGGACGACAATTCAGCAGTTTCTGATATCAGTCCTTGGTTAGTGGCTGATCCATTACAAACGTCGACAACAGATCAAACTCCAATTAAACATACTGTAATTACGAGGAAGACAGTAATTACAACGCAACTCTAGGATATCAATTAATCAACGAAAGACACGGAAGGTAGTGAATAATGCTTGAAAAAAAAAAATAAACAATAGTCAAGATATTTATCAAATTCTGTCTTCCTTGAGCTATATAATGACTCATTTAAAGTGCCTATAAGAGTACAATATTGCTCAAGTAGTGGAAGAAGTAATGCAATAAAATAAAAGATTATTCGAAACGTATCAACGGGACCAATATGCATTTATATTTCTTGCAAATTGCGAATAATTTGCATTCATGTAAGTATTTAAATTTTGAAAATTATTTATATAAGGTAATTCGATTTTAAGTGTCATATGTGTAAATTATGAATTCTTCAAAATGACGAGAAATATGAATTGTATAAATATGATTTGAGAATTATTACTTTCTTACTTAATGTATTGACATTTTAGACTTATGTAGAAAAATTTAATATATACATAAAATATAGCATTTGGCAACTACATCAGTATTCTTCAATACCATAAAAATTATACACAAAAGCAATACTGCTTTTAGACATAGTACTTGTTATTCCACCTTTTCATGTTTATATTTTACCGATCAATATTTTACTTATTCTACAATACACTGCTGATTCAGTTCTGCCATTGAAAATTATTTAAGTCCATTCTATATTTATTGTTAAGTAAGACAGTCAATTTTTACAAGGGATTAAGTGCCTTTGCGCTTTGTCATAACGTGTAAGAACACATATGTACATTAAAGAATAATGTGTGGTGCTCCTACGAAAAATGAGGACTTATTTTTCATATTTCTCGCCTAATTGTATATTTCTGCATAATTGAAGGAATTGTATACAGTACTTGGAATTTTGAAATTAAATTCGAGTGCCCAAGTAGTAGTTTAACTAATAGTATTTAAATACTTATAGAATACTATGTTTTACTTGCCATAGTGCCTTTAACGACGATGAAAAATAACGAGATCCTTTTATTTCAATTTACGTTCATTCCTATCGACTTACATCTCATTTACTACAAAACGTTTTATTGTTGAAAATACCTTTATCCACGAACATATGTACATTATTAATTATTTATACAATTATTTCATAAAAGATGAATTTTTGTCACATCGATCCTATTTTATGAAAAATTACGAAGAAATGGTGATATATATTTCCATAGATATACGTTTTTCCATAGACAAGATTTACAATTTGTATCGGTGTATCTGTGGTGCCTTATATTTTGCTGTATTATGTAAAAGTATTGTATCGCTAAAACGCTTTTCTTATTTTTATTGTTTTTGTAGTTATAATACTTGTAACTAACATATCAGTATTTTATAAAAGTTGTTTATGTTGAATATGTAATACAATGAACTAAAAATATCAGATTTTGAGAAGCAAGTAGCGCAAGAGATTTATTTTAGAGCGAAAATAACAATCTATGACTAGATGAATTCATAACAAATATCATCCCTTATACTTCGAGATCTGACAGAGTTTGTTGTATTACGAAATTTATCACGTGTAATGCATTTAAGAGACAGCTAAGAAATACGTCTGTCGTTTTACAAAACATAAATTATGATAAATAGGATGCGTTTTGACGACTTACACAAAAGGCTGTTGAAGTACTTATTGTATTCCATTTATGAGCATTTATGAAAGTAGAATAAGGCGCTGTTCGATGTTTTATGTATTTAAATATACTATATTTAATAGTAATAAGCAAAGTACATATAATATTAT